TGCAGTACACAAACACACAGCTATATGTATATACATATATTTGTATGTTTTTGATTATAATGATCCTTACTTAATGGAAGTTTACCTGCTGCGGTGTTAACCGTGGGCTGGGACACTTCCCCATTACCGTCCCCTACAGCCCTTGCAGCCGCTCCTTCTCTTGCTGAGGAAGCTTTAGTTGTTCATCGCGTTTAGAAGCCGTTCCTTTCATTTGTGTTTGTTTTGCAAAAAGACCGCAGCCTCCTTAAGAAACTTTTTCAGTATTTATTTGTCCAGTTGTCGTTTCCCAAGCTCTTTTCGGTGCTGAATGAGGAAGTTCTCCCGCGCCGCGGCCTGCTCTGCCTTGTTCTGCTCCGCTTCCTCGAGTTCAGCGGCTTTTCGTTTTGGAACCTCAAGTTCTCCGCATGCCCGCGCGAAGCGGTTCCTCTTGCGGACGTCGTCTGCCGTCTTCCGCTGCGCCGCCCTTTTCAGGTGCCCCGCCAACCGCGTCGCCAATTCCTGGACAGACCCTGTCGAACTCTTCCGCATCAACACTGCCGGGCGACAAAAGCCCCTGCGCTTTTCCCGCCCGCGGCGCAGCGCAAGCTTGCGACGAGTTTGGTTTACGTGCTCTCCCTACTCGCTGTCAGTCCGCGAGCCTCCTGCGCCAGGCAGACTGCCGCCTCTTTTTCGTTTCTTCATTTCGAACCCGTTCCGGCCCGAAACCCTCGCCCTCTTCCTCTTCCTCTTCTGCCCGCGGCAATGCCGTCTGCTGCCGGCGGGTGGCGCCCCAGCAGCTGCGTCACATGTGGCGCCGCAACGCACCCGGAGGAAACGCGCATCCCGCGACGGAGGGCCCCGGCGTATTCGCATGCGCCCACGACGACGCTCGCTCCTCCCCGCAGAAGGGGGCGTATGTGTGCACTGTGCAGGGCACACGACAACTGCGATGGTGCTCCTCCCACGCACTGCACCCGCCATTGGCGTCCCCACACACATCTCCGTCTGTGTGTGTGTGTGTGCGTGCGGCTACGCGCAGCTACCAACCACTCACTGTGGAAATGTCACCGCCTCGTTGCGGTGGCATGTTGTGCCGCAATGCACTCAGGCGAGAAGGTGCAGGGCACACCAGTCCGCTAAGGCGAGAAGGAGGAGGAGCGCCGCCGCAGTGCCCCCCACGACGCAAACACGCAGGGCGCCCAGCACGTGGGCTCCGCGAGAGGACATTTTGCCACGCGACGCGGCCGCACGGGGCGCAGCCGGCGAAGGCGGCAGCAGCAGACAAGAGGGGTCCTGCACTCCCTGCCGCGTCGCTGCAGCTGACGGCGCCGCACTGGAAGTCAAGACACCCCCACACACAAGCAGCGCCCTGCACCCGCAAGGATAAAAAAAAAAGAGAGTGAGCCTCGGCGCACTCCCTTCCCTCACTTTCTCCTTCTGCCTATTATTTTCTTTCACAAGCACGGAAGGGGGAAGCAGAGGTCGCCAAGCGCAACTGCCAGCACCCCCGGCTACGAAAGGAGAATTCACGTGCCCCGCAATATATATACCATGTGGTTGTGTGAGTGTGTCTGCAGCTACGCAAAAAAAAAGGCAAAGGGTAAAAA